AAAGCTGTGTTCCGAAATATAAAATCGAAAATACAGTACTGTAATTCGGAACACGTTTTCATCAGTAATCAGCATATTAGTATATTATGCAACAAGTGTTATAAACGTCCTTTTAGTAACGAGTAGTTTAAGCACGAGCGGAGCAGAGCGGAGCGAGTGTTTATAAACGAGTGTCTAGAAGAGTTTATAAACGCGTTACATACTATGATTTTTCTACGAACTCCGAAAATTACATTAACATACCTGCAATTCCTGCTAACCTACAAAATAATTCGAAACGAATGGGAATTGAGAACATATAATACATGCAACTGCATGCAACCAGCGAGACACGTATAAGTGATATTGGTTGTAGATGTGTCCAGTCCTGCTTGCTTACTAACCTTTGTTTCACGTTTATTGTCATGCTTAGCGTAGAATAAATCAATTGTTCTCAAAGATGGATGCTTCATTTTTACACTTCTTGGAGATATGCAAGTATACCAGAACATTATTCGATCTCACTTTCGTCTACATTTCGCATATATTTTCAATTCTAATATGTCTCAAACTACTGGAGCTGTGTTTAATGAACTGTGTTGCCATGGTAACGTGTTTAATATTCTGAATATCTCATTCTGAATAATCACAGATCGTCAATCCGTGATTAATCGATCATTTAGCGTGGTACTTATTCGTACGCTAAATGCAATATTAGTCATGTGAGTAGAAAAACGTATTAATATAAACAATACGGATCATAACGGGTGCCAGGATGAAGCCAAAAATATGAAACAAATGACTATCCATAAGGATTTGGTGGCATGATACGCATGCGCCATGCGCTATTATAGTAGTCATCAAAGACATGCGTTTCGGTGGACAATGACGTTTACTAGCCTTTCAATCAAAGCAGTATGTGTCTGATCGTTTCAAAACTTTTCCTTATGGATAGTCATTTGTCTTCAAAAATCGGCTTCATGTTTCGCTATGGAAACAGATAGAGATTATCCGTATTGATTATTAATACGTATATGGTAATCAGCAGCAGTTGATCAGCTGGTGAAATTTGTCAGTTGTCATTGATCTGGCAGATGCTCCTGCTTGAGCTAAATAAATAACAGGCATTTTCTGATATTAAAATGATATTATTAATGTATTTTTGATAAGCCAAGACTCAATGTTTGAAAAACAACGGAAATGAATGTGTCATTCCTTGCCCCTCAAAAATAATGACAGTTCACTGAAGCCACACTACCTTTTGATAGTCAGCAATTTCAGCAGAATGTTGAGTCGAAATATTTGGAATGAATAGTATATCTGCTCACGAGTATCTGTCACTTTCAGTCAATTTTTTTGATTCCGGAATGAAAATTCAGCAGATTCAGTACTGTCAGTTGAATTCGGAATATAGCCACAGTGTGACCCACTTCTAATGGAACCACTCCTGTATCTTACGTAATCGTTGGGTAAGGATCCTGAAATTTGCTGGAGCGAGAGATATACCAAAAATGCACTCTATGACCAAGTGGGGTCATCTTCAGTGATATACACTGCTCGCCAACAGCCATGAAACTACCCCAATTTCCGTTAGGAGTCAAAATAGGTCGAAAATCACTTCAGATTTGGAATCAGGACGCCCAATTTACTAACTATTCGAATTTTTCCTGGGAAATTTTCAGTTCGGAAAAATGAAATTTTGTCGCATTTTTTATGGAAGCACCCATGATGCTATAGTCATTCTCAATTTTTGATAGTAATATCCGAGGTAATAACCCTATAATACCTGTAATACTGTTAACTCAAAAATGCATATCTCAGAAACGAAACATAAAAAATTGAAAAACTTTTTGCATATGATAGTCAACATATTCAAAATAGTGTGAGTAAAATGAGATCCGAATTAACGGAACTGTTTTCGAGATATTCAATAGAAACATGTTAAATAATCTTCAACAAAATCTAACACACCCTGTATCTAAATGAAAAGCAATATTGAACAACTGAATTCGCTAGTGAGTACCCTCAGCTTTCATTCAATCAACAGTATCAATCAATCCCTTTCTTTGTGATCAAAAACAAGCTCTCAATTGTTTTCAAAAAGGGCATTAACACAAAATTCAAAGAATTAATATTTCGAACAGAGATAGTTATCAAGAATCAAAATACGTTTTCGAAGCCTACAATAGACTGAAACTATAATATCCCACCAAAATATAACTTGTTGCTTTTGGAATAATGCTCGAATTTTTTTTCCGAAAAATGAATTTTTTGACCGTGCCTCGTATTCACCCTGATTTACTATAGTTTATGTGATCATAACTAAACATGTATTTGAGTTCCGATCAATACATTTTCTAGCTTATTTTGTCTTATTTATACTAAAGAAACAGTTTTTTTCTTCGTCAATCTTACCCCGATACGACGTTTTTACGAACTTTGTCGGCTTATTTGACAATTGATTTTTTATTGCTTATTAGGAGTATTACCAATACTCAATTGAGAATTCATGGATTACGAATAGCTAATATTTCTGAAATTCCCAATTGTATTTCAACACATGGCAACAGTGCTATGGTCTGTCCCAACGAAATCGTGGCGTCAGTTTTCTGATGATTTTTGCACCCAAAAACCGACCAAAATATTCCTTGAAGATATGAAATTGAAAGGTATCTTATTGATGATTCTATTTGAGAAATAAAAAAAAATAGTCCACTCGCCTATTAGAACATCTTCAGCAGAAAATACAGTGTGTCCCACTTACTATGCTCACCATGGGTATCTTTTTACCGGTGAGAGATACGAGATCGGTTAAATGACACCAAATGTGGAGTTTGTCAGGGCCAACTATAATGTGAAAAAATATTTTGATGAAATCTATTCGTTTTTGTTTTATACGCAAAACACAGATTTTGATCGTTTTCATGTCTCCTCCGTAACTTCTTTATTTATGAAAATATTCAAATAGGAATTTCACATTCTCATGGCAGTTTTTCAAAGTGATTTCGAAAAAAATATGAAATTTATACCAACTCTTCTATAATTTGAGATATCAGCACCAACTTTAGTTTTTCAAATGTAGGTCATAGCTCACTATGACTTAGTTACAAATAACTTTTTTTCTCTTACAGATGATATGTCGCAGTAATAGTTTTGTGTTGATAACAACGGAGCTATCGTCATTTATTCAAAAACAAAAATTATTTGGAATATGCCATCTTGAATTTATAAATTTTAACAAATAAATCATGATCTCCGACCTCAAAAACCCCCACTTACCAATTTTGAATGGAAACGGACCAAATCTTGTCCACCATCTTGGAGCAGCCATTTTTTTTTTAATTCAACAAAAATTCCATAATGTATTGTCACCGAAATTATGAACACGTGCCAAATTTCAAGTTAATCGAAGTTAAAGTCAAATTTATATTTGAATATTTTTATAAATAAAGAAGTTACGGAGGAGACATGAAAATGATCAAAATCTGTTTTTTGCGTATAAAACAAGAACGATTAGATTTTATCAAAATATTGTTTCACATTATAGTTGGCCTTGACAAACTCCACATTTGGTGTAATTTAACCGACCTCGTATCTCTCACCGTTAAGAAGATACCCATGGTGAGCATGGTAAGTGGGACACACTGTATACGCCGTTGGTGACGCTACATTTGAAGTTCGTTTGCAGTCTTATTCGCAGTTCAATTCGATCATCACTGTCCGCTGTTTGGACTATTTCTGTGTTTTTATTCGTTGTGTATTAAAAAAAGGAAACTCATACTCGTGTTTCGATTTCAATGGTTGATAATTAAATTTTTCGTTATGTACATTTCATCTGATAAAATTGCGACAATATTTGATTCAGATAAACATTGCCAAATAAGGTATTACAATGCTCCTTGAATGGCAATCTATTGAAGTTGTCACGCGGAACTTTGATAATGATTTTCAAATGATGTTTTGTGGTGGCTACATATTATTCATTCATTGCATTTAATTCATCGAAAACTTAATTGCAAATTGAGGAAATCAGATGAAACTAGTATTTGTTGTAAAACCGAAAAACTTTGTAAATATCATACCTGATGTAATGAATGTCTCAGATTGAACATTATAGACATCCACAAGACAAAAACACTCCAATAACCGAGCCAATAACTGATAAAGTAAAATTGATGTAAACTGCACTAATTAGAGACCACTAATGAATTGGATCGATCGATAGGAACATGTGCGATTACATTTTGTTATCTGGTGACCTTGACAACAACAATCCTCATAAGGCAAATCTCTGATATTCGCGGTAAGCTGAAAATCCAAAATGTGATTCTTTAGAACTCATCACAAAATATTGTTTTTGAAATCATCTCCCAATTTGTTCCACCCTGTATACTGATACAGTATACAGTTGAATAAATCTCCAACTACCCATAGAATGGGCGTGTACACCTTAGTAGAACTTTTAACTCAAACCATGTTTATAATGATCCTTTTATACATAAATAATGATTGACGACATAATTCGATCGAAAAATTAACTGGAATGTTTTATTTTTGGACATAAATAATAGTACCTTCTGAAAACGGACCCTCTTATGACGTAGAAACCTCATCTCGCCATAGTTAAAAGAAAATGCCAAAAGCCCGACGGAGACTGAGGCAACTGATATATTAATTCTTTCAACTGGGATCTCGCGCTAATTCACTCTGTCAGAAATCATGTAGCATTCATCTGTGTCTGGAATAGTCTTGTTTCAGTTTTAGGGTTTTGACGTCACATCATCGCCTCGTTTTCAGAGGTCCGAAAAATCGGGGATTTCAATAATTTTTTATAAAACGTAGGGAGCTCACAGTAAGAAACGGTTTGCGGTGGTGAGCTAGTTTGGGTGAGTTCTATCGAATTATGAAATAATAATTTTTTGTGATACAAGCCCATTCTTCTTCGCATTGATATTTAGCAGATAGCAGGGAAGAGGAGGTATGACATTTTTTGGAAATAGAAGAAATAAATCGAGACCCACCTGTAATCTTAGGTCGATCAAAGGTTGAGATATGGAAAGCGATGACGAACTTTGTGCTGCGTCAAGTTCCATGTCGGATTCAGAGTTAGGCGAGTGGAAAACACTGTCATGTGACACGCTGAGACCAGGATGCATCGAAGACGAACTCCTACAAGAAGAAATTCAATTTCAATACAATCAATACAAGAAACGCCACATTACAAGTACACATTCATTATATTCGAAATACAGCAAGATTGACACATCAGTAGATAAGCTATGAGGCTTCTAGGACAAAATGAGGGCGTGTTCTAAGTGGTACTAGGCATTTGGTTGGCTAGGTAGGCCATGCCTTCTGAATACCCCATAAGTTTCCCGCGACCTGAATAGAAGCAAATTGTAGCACTCACCTTCTTCTGCCTTCTTCAGCGATGAAAAGTTCACTGGTAGACCGGCTACGCAGTGCATCTTTTCCGATTTCCGCACCCTCCGTGGTCGCCGTCCCTGCATCTTCGGTGATCTTCGCCTTTTTCCGGAACCACCGTCTTGGATTCCAGAACCGCCTCTTCGACGAAACTGGAACAAAAATACAAATTCTTCAGCACCTGACTATATCTTTGATTGAACGAGATAACGTCACGAAAACTTGTAGAGAAAAATATTTCGAAACAGTATTAACACAGGAACATATAGAAAAAACTATATTGTTCACGCCAAAAATTCAAATCGCCATTTCTAGCGAACATATAGTGCGATTTCAATCCGGTTGTCATTCATTTTCCTTAAGACAACAGTCATGAGGAAAAATAATGTTTTAATTGATAAAAACAGAACTAATGGACACCTTTGTAATATTTTTCAAAATTTAGAATTGTCAAATTTGTTGAAAATATGTTTCCATATTCTTCCATTCAACATAGAAACATCTAGGGAAACTAGCTGACCAGCAAACGTTGTTTTGCTATATACAGTGTGACCCACTTCTAATGGAACCACCCCTGTATCATACGTAATCGTTGGGTAAGGATCCTGAAATTTGCTGGAGCGAGAGATATACCAAAAATGCACTCTAACCAAGTGGGGTCATCTTCAGTGATATACACCCCCGTATCTCACGTAATTGACTTTATCTTTGGACTTTCTCTTCCTCCGGCAAATTTCAGAACCCTACCTCAATAATTACGTGAGATACGGGGGTGCTTCCATAAAAAATGCGACAAAATGTCATTTTTCCGAACTGAAAATTTTCCAGGAAAAATTTGAATAGTTAGTAAATTGGGTCTTGGATTCCAAATCTGAAGTGATTTTCGACCTATTTTGACTCCTAATATCATTTTCCGGAAATTGGGGTAGTTTCATGGCTGTTGGCGAGCAGTGTATATCACTGAAGATGACCCCACTTGGTCATAGAGTGCATTTTTGGTATATCTCTCGCTCCAGCAAATTTCAGGATCCTTACCCAACGATTACGTAAGATACAGGGGTGGTTCCATTAGAAGTGGGTCACACTGTATATATTCATTTGAAGCAAATATTTTTTTTAGTTAAATACCTATCATCACACTTTTATCATTTTATTTTCTCCTTCTTTTCAGTTTGACTATCCATAAATGCGCGTTTCTTTAGTTTTTGGAGCAACTATTCATTTTGTACTTTTTTTATAGTTTGCCTACCAATAAAAGCGGGTTTCATCAGCTTCTCAAACTAGTATTTTTTGTAATGAATAGTAGTTTGCCCTCGAGTTTGCTATATTAGATCCGCCATCTTGAATTTCCCAATTTTGACGAAAAAATCATGATTACCGACCCCTAAAACCGTCAGATTTGAATAGAATCATACCATTATTAGAAAACTCGTTCGTCATATATTGGATACGCCATCTGGAATTTCCCTTTTCTAAGAAATAATCATAATCTCCGGCCCCGAAAACCTCCAGATACAAATTTTTGATAGAATCGGAGCATAGTCACAAAACTCGTCCGTCATATTGGATCCGCCATCTTGAATTTCCTAATTTTGGCGAAAGAATCATAATTTCCGACCCTGCCAACCTCCAAATATCAATTTCGAATAGATTCGGATCATAATTACAAAACTCGAAGTACTATTTAGTATCAATGAGAGTTACGCACCTAATATAAATAATAAGATGAGATGAAATATGATTAAACAACTTTAGTTAAATAGAATAATAAAAAATAAGTTGATAGTATAGCTCAATCACTCAGTTTTTAGAAAAATTCATTTAGCTAAAGTTGGTAGAAATATATTTTCTCACGAGGAACTTATCAACTTATAGAATTAATTCGACGTAATCACAAGTTGAATGTAAATGTCATTCTACCTATAAACGTCAAAAAATTTCCAGTGTAATTCCATGCACCTTTCCCAGGAAGGAGGAAAACATTTTCAGAGTTTGGCAAAAAACAAAGTGACACGAGAATTTTATATATAAGATGAAAGATAGATGGAATAATCTCTCAAAAGGATTCCACAAGTTGCAAAAATTCAACACAGATACATATAGGGCACAAAAGTTGGAGATTTATTCACAAGTCGAAACTAACACACGGACATATAGGGAAATGAACTCGAAAATGAAGTTCTCGAGGAAGTTGTCTTTCAAAAATCTTGTAGAGAAAGAAATTTCGAAAAATTATCAACACTGGAATATAATATGGGAAAAAACTATATTTTTCATGCGGAAAATTCAAATCGTCATATCTAGCGAAGGGATGCTACGAATTCACTCCGGTTTGTTCTGTTACCTACTTTTCATTTTCCCAATAAAACCATTCATGAAGATAGCTCGCTATTTTATCAAATGAAATGTTCATAGCGAGAGATATGATTATCAGCCAATGAAATTTGATCACCTGTATGAATTCCGTTTCTTTCAATAGTGTCAATCCACAATGCATAAAATTAACACAAAAATATCCCAAACTGTAGCTGCCAAACTGTCGATTGCTTTAAAAATATTCTTCTTAGGATATTACTCAACCGTAAACTCTTTAATAGTGAATATTTAGTATCTACTCACGAATACATAAGCAGTCAAAGAAACCCACTTCTTACTTCGCAAATGAGTACAAACCAACACATCCTCAAATCACCCTGTATAGTGGGAGATACGATATGAAACAGAACTGGAGTATATCGAACACTGAAACCTCTTTCACGATAATTACACTACACTCTTTTATCACCAACCAAGCCGATGTTTTAACGCTTCGACACCTGTTTCGCTAACTATGTTCATCTTCAGGAGAATATTAAAACTGAAAATGATAACACAGTTACAGCGAAACACGAAACACATAGTACCGAGAAGTGTCGGTTTGTCTAGTCTATGATAGTTTACTCAAGTAGATTGAAGAAGTGGTTGTTTTCGAATACAAAAACAGAATTTCAATAGCGATATGATTGTATTACCGAGCGAATATTTTTTTCTGCTCATTTTAAAAGCGTGCTGCTTGCGTTGGGAAAAAATAGGGCACTAACGTGGGAGGGTCGCCGGTCAATTGTTTATTGTTATTTTATCACAATAACTTTTCATGGAGTAATTCACATAGAACTGCGTGGCTTTGAGTACTATTATCAGCCGGATATCAGGGTCGAACTTGCGTAAATTCAATCCATTATTCCATTTTTCTACTCACATAACTAAAATCGCATTCAGCCTACGGATATGTATACCACGTTTTCGAAAAATTAATAGACGTTATCATGGCAACAGAGTTTTTTAACACAGCACCTTCATTCGATCGAGTCCTGTCCGGTCTGTCAATTGTAGGAACTGTCAACTGTCATTCTCGAATTTTTATGCAATCAGAATTATTCAAACAATTTCTGTTTGAATTGTAGCGTATTCGACTGGTGCACTATTGTGCATTTAATTCTAACTTTTGTCGTCGGTGTGTGGCTGGTATGCACTTAGGCAGTACCAATATCATTTCTTTCTCAACAAGTACTACTCAACGGTAGAACAAAATTTATATTCAACTGGTAAAAGCGCTCGTTGTTGATTCGAACGTTTTCGCAAAATAATTTTTGACGGTGCCAAAGTCCCAGGCGGCACAATCATATTCCATGGATATCCTGTGCATATTGCGTTGGAATATTGGCATATGCCATGGATATTCCATGTCCTCCAAAACATATGATATGAAACACATACCAGGAATATCTGTGAAAATTTCAAAATATATTGGAGGCATATGCTATGCGGATATGTTCTGTATATATGCATAGAATATGCTTTCCAATCATGGCTAGAATGAAATATATATATGATATGTAATTTATTACGTAAATGATACAAATCAAAATACAGGTTATCGGTATAGGTGTGTAAGGTACTTGAGGCTTGCACTTTATACAGGGTCGCTGATATGTATGGAAACAGGTGAATATCTCGGTATATAACCTGTTTCTTTGAATTAATATACTGTGTGATTTTGAAACGTGGCAGATTTGAAAATGTTACAGCCCATGTTGCCACTTTTTCAGTTATTTTTTATTTACTTCCTTATTTTGAATAGAACACCCTGTACTTTATTGGATTTTCAGATTCTCCTCGAAGAGCTGAATCCATCGATCTATCACATTACATAGGTATAGGATGTTTAAAATCTAGATTTTTCAACTAGGATTCGATCGAAATTATTCATTATCGATCAAAACCGCTACAATGTTTCTATCTTTACTTCTGATATACTATCTACTGACATTTAATGGAAACGAATACAGGGTGGTTCAAGATTCAAAATTCTGATCACCCTCTGTATCTTGGCCTTGTTATTTGTCCTGAGCTCCTCGAAATGATATTTTTACATGTACCAAGTATAATTCTCATTCATCAGATTGGTGAATGAGAAAAACATAGAGATAACGGGCATAACTCTTACTGCATTCGAAAGTAATGTATTGAGGGCATTGTGGGCATCATTATTACATATAAGTTTTCAATTTGTATAATCAGTAGATATGGGCATTTTGGTATATAATTTCTTTTGTGGGAGTTAATTTTTCATCTATTTTGATATGTATAATGTATACTATAATTATTAATTAGTTAAACTTTATTAGTAACTACATAGATGTTATTCATGATCTGTATTTATTATAATGGGGGTTACCCGTACAATAAATAAATAAAATAAAAATAAAATGAAAAAAGAGTTCGAAACTTGTAGGTCTTCATCATTTTGATAGTTAGTACCACATTCACAGTAATCGATACACATTCTAGCACTCTCAATAAGTAGATAACTGAGATACATGGGGAGTCCCAAAATGCAACCTTTCCAATTTCGCCCTGTATATCTCAAAAACGAAGCGAGTTATGAAAATTTTGTTTCCGGTATCGTGAATTTCACAAAAAAGTAGGCAACGCTCGCGAAAATCGCAAATCTATATCTTTGAAAATGAGTGAGATATCCCGTAAGGAAATCGAAAATGTGACAGCCTGTACAATAATAGTAGACGTGGAAAAACGAGCTTTTTTACATACCTATGAAATGAATTTCAAACAACCCACAATCCATTATTCATACTTATAGAGTGAAATGAAG